TTGTTTTCGGGTTTGGACGGGTGTTTCATCTCGAACGTGGACTAGTTAGTCCAGATGACCTGGTTGATGTCCTCAGCCCTTTAGTTTTTTAGCCTCAGGCATAACGAAACTCATGTTTGGCCATTTTAAGACGTTTTTGACTGTTTTGAGCCCTCCGGTAAGCAAAGCTTAAGTCACCTTGAGTTATGTACCCTGTAAGAACAATTTTAGACAGCTGGTAATCCATCCTGAAAAGTCCTCTTACCAACTTTCTAACCCTTTGACCTTTTTGATGGCCACTTTGGCGCTACACAGTTTTGGCCATATGGCTCACTCCTGAGAGCTGACAAAAAAGAGGATAAACTTGCAATGATTGACTCCCGACAAATCATCGGTGTCACTTGCTGACTGTACGTCCAGTTAGCGATGGACATTGTCTACAGACTGGTAGGCCTCAATCACCCTCAATCGTCGCGAATGGTCACGTGCTGACTAAATACCGAGACGTACCCGTATTGGAGACCTCTATGTTGCGGCGTTAGCCGTCTGTGTAGGAAACGGGCTCTATAGCAAAAACTATTTTGTCTACAGAAATTAGTTACTGTGGAGCATATTTCTACTAGCCATGGCAACCACGGAAGCTCAGTAACGAACCAATTTCAGCGTGCCTTTAAGCAAGAGAGCCTAAAAACGTAAAATTTAGGTGAGAACGAACTTATGGGACACCCTGTACTTGTCAGAGACTCGGGGAGGACGGGAAGGAGACTGATACCTAAAGAGAGGAAAGATGATCGTGAGCAAGGGGTTTGGGAGATAGGTAAGGAGACAGGGGAAAATGAGATTTTATTGCTCCGGTCCCAATAACACTTCCCAAAATAAAATATAATTGGTCGTAATTATCGAATAAGAATCGGAAATTGTCAATTGAACGTCTGATTTGCTTACATCGATCCGCCCTATACCCTGTTTGACATGTTTGCACCAAAGCCAACTTGCAGGCTATATATCGAGCCAGTGGTATATACTATACAATAAATACATCTCTCCCGGTGGTATACCTGCATAGAGCCGAGACCTCCGGCTGTATTTTCCCACGATCAGCCGGATTGCAAAGCCGTGTATTTTTCGTCCGTTGCAGGCGGCCGGCGCAATCTCCGTGAAAGAAGCGCTCCAGTGACAAAAGCACGAGCAGATCGCCTAAATGCCGGTGGCCGCGAGAATTTCTCTAGTTTCTGAAGAATTTTTCGGGACCCATGCTCTACTCATACTGCATCCGAATATACGCATATGGGACAGGCATTGTTGTACTATAAGTAGCTTATCTGTTTTTTTTTTCAAATGCAACTTGACATTTATATCCAGGTGATTTTTAAAACCTTTTTATTGAAATGGAAAATACCTTTAAATAAGAACTTGAAATTGAGCATGGGCATTATGTTAAAATTTACATTCTAGCTTTCATCTTTCAATACCTCAGTTTGATATGGGCATGCCTGCAGCCTTGCTGGATGACCTGGATTAGAATGGTGATCAGGCATATTTGGCTCATTGATAAACACGCACCATGATTGGTGCATAGTTTACTGACCAGTGACCACCCATTTTACTTTTTGCAGACTTGTGATGGGGAACATTTGCCTGAGAGGACTGTTTGATTCAGGATCTCCAAGGCCTGAGCAAGAGGAGCCTAAAAAGTTCTCATGGTTTGTATCTTTCATGGAGGAATTTAATTATCTTTTTTTTTACTGAATCAGTTTTGTATAGATACCTGAATGATATTTTGTGGTTGGTGCGCTTGTGACATACCCAAGTATTTTTATTTTAGAATTTAGATAGAGCTACCTCAAATGCATAGTGATAAGAATGAAATTAAAATGTTATGCCACATCAGTTCAATAAAGATTAAGCTTGATTTTATGATCAAATATTTTCGTAATACCTATATTAAACATGTTCTTAATTTTCGAAATATGTCCGTAAGTTGCATTTTGTAAAGCAAATTTAGTTCAAATGTTTGGAATCGACGGATTAAATCGACGCACGAAGTACGAACAGGGTGGACGCTTGAAACTGGCAATATGCTGTCGTAAAAGCCACTTTCAATTTTCAAGGACACACTAACATGTTCTCGATATTCATCTCATCTAGGCTGTCATATCATCTAGGCTATCCTGCCTGCTGGTCATACAGCCGTGCTTCCACCTCGCTGTCTGTCTGTGCGTCGGGGAGACCCGTAAGACGGTAGACAAGGATTGACTCTGCCTCTACCTGACGCTCCCTCTCCCTGACTGACCTTTCCCTGACACCGACCTCTCCCTGTGACCTTTCCGTGACGCTGTTCTCCTGACGCCAACCTCTTCCTGGCGTTGTTTCCCTGACGTCGACCTCTCCGTCACTGCCTTTCTCTGACGCCGACCTCTCCCTAACGTTGTCTCTCGTTGCATCAGGGAGACCCGTGAAAAGGTGGACATGGCTCAGTACACGATCGAGCAGGTGCACTCTGCCGAGGCGGGCCGCGCGCCCGGCCAGATCGGCGGCCAGCAGTTCATTGTGCGCGACTGTCAGAACGCGCACATCTACCTGCTGGACGCGGTGAACACAATCACTGTGGATGACTGCACCGACTGCGTGCTCATCATAGGGGCCGTCAAGGGCAGGTCAGTCGCCGCCACCGCACCGGGGAACGGGCGACGGTGGGACTTTGGTGGGTCCCCCCCCCCCCGGATGCTTTCAGGCTGACTTTCTGTGATTAGCTCTTAGTGTTATGCTTGTGCAATGTGTGGTGTTTGCAATGCTTGATTAAACATTCCTCAGTTAACTCATGCAGACTTGTAAATTGAAACGTGTGTGTGCACTGTGATGAAAGTTCGTAGCACATTGTGTATTTTGTTGAAAGTACTCTCAGTCTCATTGTATGCCCCTCCTGCCTATACACACATGCCTTACCGGTCTGACCGACGGCTCTTGCGGCGGCAGCCTGTTTCTCCGGAACTGCAAACAGTGCAAGGTGGTGGCGGCGTGTGGTCAGTTCCGCACACGGGACTGCCAGATGGTGGATACCTACTTGCACTGCTCCACTCAGCCCATCATTGAGGCGTCGACCAATATGCGCTTTGCCTGCTACCGACTGCACTACCCGCAGCTCAAAGGTATGGATCTTATCTTGAAGGAGTCTGGTTTTTGAAGGGCGTTCAATGAGTTGTGAAATCGGTTTGAGTATGATTTATATGGATTGTTATCGAATAGGTCACGTCACAGATCTAACAGTTCAGGAAAACGGTATCTTGCGATGTTTCGATGTGGTGCCATATTTCATACAATTCACCAAAAAAAGTTCATGACTTTCATTGTATTCGTGCACGCCTGTTGGATTTTAGCACGCATGTGTACTGCGCAAAATATCTGGTAACTACTTTGTGCATGGCGCCAATGATAGTGTATCGCAAACTGATATCTTCGTCACACTGAAGCAGCTGGCCTGTTAGTGGATATCTGATTAGGGATATCATACGCTGGTCATTTGGTCAGTGTTTACGGAGCGAGCGAAGCGAGCGTAGTCTTTCCTTAGATTAAAGGTAGTGTGCCACCTTTGAAAGATTTCCCGTTTTATTTTTCCTAGGATAAGAAGCTTCTGTTTTTACCTAATATCGCAAAAAAATCAAAAATGGGCCTGGAATAGTGCCTTTTTCGCCTAAAAGTTTATCGGTTTTTAGATATGTATAACAACTGTAGTGGGCTCACCTGCAAACAGGCGTCGGGCAACAATCGCGAATGCGGCGCACTTGTGACAATAAGTAAAGGTCATTATAGTGTTACGACCATACGACGTACGGGAATGAGTTATCAGCTGTCTAATCGTAGACAACACAATGTCGAGCCTTAAACTGTAAGCCTGTATTGGTATTGTTTCTTAAATTTGGCTGTCGAACATTAATTTGTGGTTTGAAATATGATTTTATGTAAAATAATTGATATGAAACAGCCGTCTCTTAAGTTATGACCCCATTACACCACACGCAAGTGGCAGAAATGACAATGATCAGCTGACGCATTTTTCTTGGCCGAAGTCAGAGCGCGCGGCCCGACGCACCACGCGTATTTGGAAATTCCGACCTCGACGAGCATCAGAAGCCACCTAACAGGCGTGTTCGAAACCGCAGGAGATGATGATGAACGGGTTTATCGAAACTTGATTGGATGAGCCTATCGGTAATAGCGATTTTAGTGTGTGCATTTATTGTTCATAGTGGTGTGAAATGTGGTTGGGGTACGACCGACAACCCGTCGGGGCGAATTTCGCACTGGGGTACTCAAAATTTGAAGAATTTAAGACGTTTCCATAAGTTTTGAAGGTATGGATAAGTTCTAAAAATCCGGTTCTCCTTATCCGGGTCATTAACTCCATATGGTCCAAGAAAGCTGGCACACTACCTTTAACGGAAATTTCTGAGTATGAGCGGCCGGCCGGCCGGCCGGCCGGCCGTGGTCACGCTTTTGCGAGGCTTATATCTCAGCAACCACTTGACCGATTTACACGCGGTAATTTTTGTAGGGTAGCTTCATTCCTTCTACCAAGTATTGGACTATTCCCGATGCATGTGGGTGACCCCTTATGCACGTGCCACGTGCAAAACGAAGAGGTGTCACTTTTGTAATTGTTGCAATATCTCGGTAACTACTTGGCCGATTGCGCTGAAAGTTGGCATGTAGGTAGGCACCCACTAGGTAATGCATATCCATGTGCCAGAGTTGGGGTGCTGCTGCACGTGCGCACGTGCAGGGGTCGTTTCCAGATCTCGAGAACGGCTGGACCGATGGCGCTCAAATTTGGCACATGGCTAGGGACCGGTTAGTAGGGTGCCGTGCAAAAGTCAGTTGGGACCCATTTTGCACGTGCGCACGTGCAGGGTGCCGCTTCCAGATCTCGAGAACGGCTGGGCCGATTGTGCTCAAATTTGGCACATCGCTAGAGACCGGTTAGTAGGGTGCCGTGCACAAGTCAGCTGGAGGTACCCCTCGAAATTTCGCACGTGCAAGACTCACCCTCTCGCTCGCTCCGTTAGTCGCCCCAAAAGGCGTTATACTGGTTAATTACGGAGCGAGCGAAGCGAGCGGAGTCTTACGTAGAATAACGGAAATTTCTGAGTATGAGCGGCCGGCCGGCCGGCCGGCCGGCCGTGGTCACGCTTTTGCGAGGCTTATATCTCAGCAACCACTTGACCGATTTACATGCGGTAATTTTTGTGGGGTAGCTTCATTCCTTCTACCAAGTATTGGACTATTCCCGATGCATGTGGGTGACCCCTTATGCACGTGCCACGTGCAAAACGAAGAGGTGTCACTTTTGTAATTGTTGCAATATCTCGGTAACTACTTGGCCGATTGCGCTGAAAGTTGGCATGTAGGTAGGCACCCACTAGGCACTGCATATCCATGTGCCAGAGTTGGGGTGCTGCTGCACGTGCGCACGTGCAGGGGTCGTTCCCAGATCTCGAGAACGGCTGGACCGATGGCGCTCAAATTTGGTACATGGTTAGGGACCGGTTAGTAGGGTGCCGTGCAAAAGTCAGTTGGGACCCATTTTGCACGTGCGCACGTGCAGGGTGCCGCTTCCAGATCTCGAGAACGGCTGGGCCGATTGTGCTCAAATTTGGCACATCGCTAGAGACCGGTTAGTAGGGTGCCGTGCACAAGTCAGCTGGAGGTACCCCCTCGAAATTTCGCACGTGCAAGGCTCACCCTCTCGCTCGCTCCGTTAGTCGCCCCAAAAGGCGCTATACTGGTGAAGTTGTTACCTACCTTTACTATACGTCATGGAGTTCTCACTTTTGCTAATTAGCAGCTGGTGATGTAAGACCTTCAATAGTGTCTCATCGGCCACGTGAAACAAGCTCACATTATTACTTTTTTAAAGTTGTAAGCCCCATTGACGCTCACTGATAATAAGTATTAGTTTTTCAACCTGCACGTTGCTTCCTGATTAGCAAGAGCCACTTCATCTTCAATATGGGTGCCCACCTGCAGTGGCCCTAGCAGCTGCCCCCGTGGTTTCCGTTTGAAGTCTGTCTGCCGTGCTCCTCGAGCGGCGCCGAGAAACCGGGCGAGACTGGCAGCTGAGGACCGCGTTCCGTTGAAGTCTGTAGGTATTGACCTCCCACTTCCGCGGTCACGACCTCAGCTGGCGGCTCCAGTGCGGAACCGGGCCGCCGCAGAAATGTGGCCTCTGTCCGATTCGCGGAGGGATTGTTCGATATTGCGCTACTTAACTGCCGCAAACTGCGTCCTGAGTTAAGGCGAGAGTTTTGAAATGTAACTGCCACCGAGCTTCCGGAACTGCGTCTCAGCGCCGCCAGTTATCACGCATTTGAGCGAGTGAACTCGGCTGGGCGCCTGCTGAAATCGTCATGTCATCACCGAGAAATGGTGCCAACATCAGTCTCTTCACTGCCACCTCCCCGCGCCAGTCATCCGTCCCCTCCGAAAGCCAGGCGTTATCGATCCGCCGCGTTCCGGAGCTGTGATCAGCTAAACAATATCGCCGGCCCTCCAAACACCGTTGGCGTGGTGTGGTGCCTTGGGCTGTGGATGCGGCGCCACGAGCTGCCATCACACGCTCTCGGCTGATTTAGCGGGGTTGTTTGTGAATCACGGATGCATGCTTTCGGCCATTTAAATGAGTTGCTTTTAATAGGAGGCTGAAACATACATACCATTATTCTTCCAAAGCTGCTGATTGAAAATATGATGGCGCTTGTAGCCTGAGAGGCAACAGGAAACGGCTTTCCGTGTTATACAGCATTTCGCCCTACTCTGTGCCATTTTTTACTATGCTGGACCACCGTTCCGTAGATGAACTGCTTCCTCGTCGTGCGTAATACTCGACACTACGCCAGCACGTTGCAGCATCGTTCCCGTCGCAGCGTAGGATCTCTGTTGAAACTCCCTGGTTGGATGCATCTCTCGGAGCAGATTGGCCTTGGAGTGTCCCCTTGGGACACATACCTGCCCGTAAATGGGAGGGGCTCACTCGGGTATTATCCTTCGCACTGAGTTGCGTCATTGATTTACAAAATATATTATGTTGTAACAAGGTAGTATTCTAGAGTAATGACTGGATAGTATGAAATATAATAGACCATGATGCATGTTCAAAGCACGTGTGTCGTACTCATCCAAACACATAACCCAGCTGTGGCTCATCTGGGTAATGTGTAAAGCAATAGTTGCTCCACATTCGTCGGTGTTCCACCCTGCACGACATATTTGAGCCTGTGTCAGTGCGCTACCACCTACATCTCGCACCTCTTTCCCTCCACCGACCGGTGACCGCCTACCTCCCCCTCCGGCAGACCATTTCGACGCGATGGGCCTGCAGATCTTCAGCAGCTGCTGGAGCAACATCCACGACTTCACGCCCGTGGATGGGGAAAGCAACTGGGAGGTGATGGAGGAGAAGGAGGCGGAGACCGCGGACATCCGACTGCCGGCCGACGAGCCGCTGCGCAGGTCAGTGCGCAGCTCACGGGTCAGCGCAGACAGGTGGTGACGGAGGCGAGGTCATGGGGTCAGGTGGAATGTAGGTATCACATGTTTGTCATGGTAAAATTATGTATGTTATATGGACGTCTTGTGGCTCATCCTAGTTCCTCTGTATTTCTGTGAACATAGAACATTTGTGCACCTCATTTCAAGAATTACTCTTTTGTCTCATCTGTCCGATACTGCCTACACACGTCGAACATTAATTATATCTGGGATAGATGTTTAATGCTTGAATACCTCTCACTGTAGGATGCGAGCCAAATTTGGACCGAAAACAACACTGCCAATCCGCTTAGATTTGATGCGCAGATGCCACCAGATTTGTACTGGTAGAAGCCTATTAACAGCATTCATATTTATTTCCTTTGATAGCCTAAGCTCCCAAGAACTTTGAAAACAATATAGAGCACCCTGTCCGCTACTAGTTCCTGGGGTGAGGTACCTTGTTCGATGCCGTAAAATGTCTGGAACATGCGCCGTAAAGCCTAAAGCGCTCAGTGTTTGTGACATGTTTCGGACGGCCGGTGTTTCCACGCACCGTAAACACAACGGTACGATCAGAGGCTCGCCGCCCCACCTGTAGTCCCGGCAGTTTGTTTTTTAGGATCACGTACACAACTCAAACAGTGTATACGTGCCTTACATACCTACCGTGCTGTCGTAGGCTCCTCGCCAACCCCGCTGTATTCTTAAGTTTGAATTAGTCGCTATGCGTAGGTATAGGCTGTCCACTTCTGCATTTCTATACCAGTGTTTAGTGTTCTGTTTTCTCTGTCGCACTCGCCTATGCGCTGCAGTATTCTGACCCGTGACCCCGTCCGGCAGTGTGGGTTTGTCGCTGGACCGCGAGGCCAGCCTGGTGCCTCTCACAGAGGGACGGGTCAGAACCAGCGGACCGATGGCGCTGGTTCTCTTCTTCCCGGACGGCCAGCAGGACGAGCGGGCCGCCGCCTTCCACCGGACGCTCATCAAACAACAGGTCGGTGGTGAGGCAACTGGTCGGGAGACGATTCGCACTGAGTGGTTAAATGGATCAGACTCAGAGTCGGGATGGAGCATGAGTGAAGAGGGTAGGACTTAGGAGAGACCAGCTATGTACATACCGGTCTGTGGCCGATGGTCTCTAACTGGGATGATCCGCCCTGTAGCTCTGGTTGGTAGATCCTGATCTTGGTTTGACCGTACTACTCGGTTCCGATCTATGCACGATTATACGGATCGTTAATTGTTTCGGTCGATCATTTCTGACGCCCTCCTCGCCCGCGTGTCCACAGCCACACCTGAAAGCCACCTACAGCCGCGAGGTGAAGCTGACCCCGCTCCAGCTGGAGGCCATCGTCAAGACAAACGCTTACTCTGCGCTGGTCGAGAAGGACAACGTCATCGGCATCCAGTACTGTGGCGAGGACGTCATCAAACATTGCCAAAAGGTAGGGACGGTCATCAATTAATGCTGCCAACTGGCACGGGTGGCGGTAAATGCAGTGGGCTGTGAGTGGTGTCAGACATTACCAGGAGATAAGAACTTCCTGGGTATCCATCCAAAAGCAAGCACTGATCAGACCGACGATGCCAGATAATAATTGTGGATCCAGCCTAATAGGAAATAGGGTCGCATATGACAGAAGAATTCGAAAAATGTTTGGTAGCAGTTAGCACATACCGCCAAAGCCCATGTTCTTGATTCAGATGTATTCAAATGAGGTCCACACAAAACGGTGGCTTTTTGCTCAGTCACGTCATACGGTAAAACAAAATTGAAATGGAAAGTATGACACACGCACACAAGCACATATCCATCACCACAATTATACAAACACATCGAAACTGACCATCAGCGACTCGGACACATCTGTGCTACATTCAGCAGCCTATAGCGACATAGTAGCCCGCCTCAACTTAGCCTGAAATGCCGGCATGCCGGGCTCTTTGCGCATGTCATTCATCAGCGACACACCTCGGTAACAAAGGCGGCGTCTCCCAGACTCTGTGCGAATAGCGGGGAGGGTGAACGAATCGGCTCGTCTCGTTTGGTGCTGGTGCCGCTGGCAGGCTCTGGGTCCGATGGTCTGTCTTAAATACAGGGTGTCCCGAAATTGATGCGCGGCTGGTGCCGCATGTTATGTTGTCCCTCCCGAGTGCTGAACAACTGCAATTTTACCGGCTCTGGCACCACTGACATCTTGCTGGTCACACGATCGCGTGAACCAAGCGGCTAACCCGACCGCGGCCGGTAGTGGCCCCCCCCCCCCCCATTCAGGACTGGAGATGCGTCCTTTTCACTTTTCAGTGACAAGGTGCCCTTCGTGGTCTCTAAGCCCCTAACTGCCAGAACGATCGAAATGTGGGCCAACGGCAGCTCTGAGGAGTCCGCTGTCGAGACGGTGAAACGTCTGCTGAAGAATCTCATTTGGAGCATGATGAGCTACAGAGGCGCTCTGAGCTTCACGAGGTGCCTCGGGGACAGACCGTGACTGCTTATTACTATGTCAGCGAGGTGCTGAAGAAGACTGATGCCACAAAGATGCTGAGGGAAAAGGTAAATGGTTCAAAAACCAGAGTCAAACTTTTGTCGGACATGTCCAGGGCCATTTTCCAGCAAGAAAGGGCTCCAGCTTATCACGCCAGGAAGACCCAGGACTGGTGCCGAGCGAGGCTCCCAGGCCTCTGGGAGAAGGGGACATGGTCTGGCAACAGTCTGGACCTGTCCCCGATCCAAATTATCTGGACGATCGTCAGAAAAGAGCTCAGCAAGCTTCCACGGGCTAGCTCAGAGAAGAGGCTGTTTCAGAAGATATAAACGGCATGGCGTTGTTTCAAAGGAGAGACTCTTGACAACCTGAAACGTGACACGGTAGAGTCGCAATAGGCCGTGTATGCAACTGAATGGGGACTATGATAACATATAAGCCGTGAAATAAATTCAAGCACTTTATAAGTTATTGAGGATAAAACAACCCCGCATCAATTTCGGGACACCCTGTACTCGGGCTGACCGGACACAATCACACGCTCGACGGCATATGCTGCGTGGTACGACGCCAGCTGTTTAGCTGTGAACCACCCCAGCTGCCGTATAGCTCCGGACACATGGTCGTACCTCCTTTTACCGGTCACGACCCGTGTGTTCACAATCTTCTGCACACGGTGGAGCTGCGTATCAGTACAGGAGCCGTACACTTACATACAGTAGCGCACAATCGATAGAACAAGTGCTTGAACGATACATTTTAGTGCAGTCCTAGGTATCACATGGCGTGCGTGGTTCAGGGCGATTAGAATTCCGGTGCATTTGCGTGACATGTCATCAATATGCGACTCGAAAGTAAGATGGCGATCGATTGACACTCCGAGGTTCTTGACTACCTTGGCATAAGGCACTACCGTCCCACAGAAACTGAGGGTGACCGGCGGCAGCCCACGAAGCATCGCCTGTGTTCCCATCACGAGCATCTGTGTCTTTTTAGCATTCAGCCTCATCCCATTTTGGCAAAACCAACTATACACATCAGCCAGTGCACCATCCATTTGCGAGACAAGCTGCTGCATCTGACCCTTCTTCCCCGTTACCATCAGTTGCGTATCGTCCGCATATTGGACGACAGTCACGTCATGGTCTGACAGTCTGACACGCACAAGCTCAGATCGTTTGCAAAAAGCATGTAGAGGATACAGCTCAAGGCACCGCCCTGATACACACCAATGACGTTGTCTCTGACGTCAGATAGCACTGCCGAACCATCCGCTCGCTGCACCCGAACCTGCTGAGTGTGATCTGCCAAGTAGCTACTAAACCAGTCTGTATCTATTCCGTAAAGGGCGAGCTTTTCTAACAATTTGTCGTGAGGAACAACATCGAAACATTTTGATAGATCCAATCCAAGAGCACCAAGAGACAAATTTGACCGTTTTCCATGGCGTGAAGTGCTTTATCAGTTATGACGTGAAGCGCCGTTTCGGTAGAGCGTTGTTTTCTATAGCCGTGCTGTGCATCCGAAAGTAAATGGTTGTTCTCGAGGTAATCTGATAGCTGTTTTTGCACAACACGTTCAACCAATTTCATGATGGCAGGCAGAATGGAGATGGGTCGCGTGTCGGATGGCTCGGCAGAGACTTTTCCTTTAGGAATGGGTGTCACAAGCGCATGCTTCCACTCCTTCGGTACAGTTCCGGTAGCAAGGCTGGCATTGACTACGTCAAGCAGGGCATAAGCAACACCCGCGAAGCATTTTTGCAGCAACCATACACTAACTCCATCATTGCCAGTAGAGCTTGATGGCTTCATGGACAGGAGTACGGCATATAGCGTGTCAATGTCAACTGTCCGAACCTTAAATGCACCTGTCGAAACTCGTGGAAGGCGAATGAGCACAAAGACAGTGGGAGTGGGCACGCTCGCAGCAGTGGTCAGGCCTACGGTTACATAGTAGTGGTTCAGAGCATTCGGTGTGATACGAGGAGCCTCCGCAATGCTGCTGTTTGCGCCCTTTTACCGGTCGCAGCACTCGCCACAGTCCTTCGCGATCACGTCGACTGAGTTTTAGTTTTAGTTCGTTAGTTTTAGTTTTATATAGTTTTCTTACTGAAACTATGTAGGCATTCTATTTAACGAAACACGAAACCTTCTAAATGCCAACTGTTTTTCATTTGGAGTTGCTGTAGACCCAGAAACTTCCTAGAACAGGGGACCATCGCTGGTGAGCGGCGTACAATTACACGACTAGCTCGGTTGCCAGTCACTATCTGGTGGATCGCTGCCTTTTCCTGGTACAGTACAATGCTGTTAGGTGATCCGCCCTAGCGAAGTTTGATCTATCGATTTGTTCTGTCTCTGCGCGGAGATTCGTTTATTTGACCTATCTAATAACAAGTTTTAATTCAGTAAAGCCGCTGAGGCTGCTTTGTGACACCTTGTTTTTTCGTTTGCCCACGCGCCTTCGACACGTGATCTTAGATACTATGGTGAATGCCACCTTTGGAGCTGACGGTATCGCCCGACACAATCTCGTATTTTGTTCGTGTGACGGCCTTTCCGAGTTGTAGACTGGCCTGCTACTGGGCGTCGCTGGGCACTACGCTCCGCTGAGGCGCCAATCGCCGGGTCCGCGTATTCCATTAACATCTCCTCAGCGGGGCCGGCAGTTCCGTTCTGCTGCGATCTTGGTACGCGACCCGGTCTCCGCGACCCCGGCGGGTTCCAGGGCGTCCCCTCTGACCGGGCTCTGCCACTCCCCCGCCGCAGCTGGCCCCGTGTCATGGGGTGGCACAGCGAAACAAGCCCAACAATCTGACAGGTCCACGCCGCTCACATTCAGACACTGCACCGCTAGTTTTTTTTTCAGCTTCACGCACATTGTTTATAATTCCTGTTACCCCTGGGACCTATCATTGCTTCAGATAATACTTCAAAGCCTATCTGGGGTGGTCTATAAGCTTTCTATTACTCCCAAGGTGTGAGGGAAGAAAGTAACGCCGTCGTCTTGGTTTCCTCTGGCCATCAGCCAGTGCTCCCGCGGCTGATTTTGTCCCTGTCCGTCAGGTGGCGCTGGAGACGGCGACGGCCACCGGCCTGACAGGCCTGGTCTACATCAGCAGCAGCCAGCAGGCGGCGCTGGCCCAGGTCGAGACCCTGTTCAGCGCCGGCCACGTACAGATGGCCGGCTGACGACCGCCGCCGCCCCCGCCCACCCGGCCGGCCTGAGCCGCCGCCCCCGCCCAGACCCGCCGCGCATGGACTAACCACTCACAAAGCTTTAACGGCGAGCGTCGGTCCGAGCGGCCTGCGATCGTACCTGGCCGTGTGCGGGCGCCGCGCCGAGGCCGCGCGGTGTGTCTCACAAGAAGTGGTGCAATCTATCTAGTCAGACGGGAGGGAAGTGAATGACAAACCGTGCCGTCTGTGTAGTCTGCTGTTAGCACAATCGCCGTCGATGGCCGTCTGTTGGCACAAGTTGCGCTGTGGTATTGGAGAGTGGAGCAGCGCGCCTGTCTCGTGGCGCGTGCCGTGCTGTGTCTGTCTAGTCAGCTTTTGGCGCCGCGGCCCCGCGCGCGCTCGTTATGATCTCTCCCGGCGTCTTCGCCGGCCCTACTGTCGTCTCATTCCTCCGCTCAGTACTGTGTGTGCGCGCGCGCCCGTGTGGTGTACGTCTGCGAGCGCGGCCGGCCGTCGTGCCTGCTTTGTGAACGGTTTATGCACTTTCTTAAAAATATACAGAGGAGCAGTGGACTCGCACTCGGCGTGCGTGTATTTCACTATCACCCGTCGTGGTCGAACATACTATTCCTGTTGTCATCTCATAGCGCCGCACATTACACACCTATAACACATACAACACTTGAACATTGGTGGGCGGCGGCCGTCGGCGCTCGCCTATAGTCGCAGCCAGTACATGGAGGCGCGGATGCGGTTGTAGTCGGGCAGATTTTCCACGGGTCCCACGGCCGCCACCGCCGGACATCGGTCGTAGATGTACTTCATACACGCGTTCTTGATCGAGTCGGCCGTCACCGCCTGTAGGAGAGAGACAGAGGGTTAGACAGGTAACATCCCGACGCTGCCGGTAGTGCCGCACATGGCGATATCAACATAAGAACAGATGCGGAGCCTGCCGCCCACGGCAGTGTAATGAAAACCAAAGGCAGTGACGGGGATGGCCGGGGCCTTTACGGCGAAGGATCAAGCCGTACGGCTCTTACAGTTTCCATTTCATGGCGACGCAACCGCGAGATCCTTGCGGCTTTATTGGGTATCCCGGATTCCCGGCTTCATGTGACATGATAAAAATATCCACCTCTCCATTTGTTTGTGTAACAGGATACCATAAATCGGATCACCTCAGCTCGACGATAAAACTAGGTATGCAAGAACAAACGCATTAAGAAAAAGGTAACTCAAGATAAAGACGCATTTTATACTGTGCGGTATGATCTGGGTGAACGCCAAACTAAAAAAAAAATTAGTGCTAACTGACGTTTTATTTATGGCGAAAAGCTTAGCAATGCTTCTTCCCTATTTCCCAAGATTCCAAACCAAACAGACACTGTCAGGAAACAAAATCTATAACAGTGCGTGTGCGGAAGGACGCAGCAATATGCGGCCACCTCGGTTTTATTGAATTCTACTATAAATGCTAAATAACGCACGCCGGCTGCGCGACGGGCCGGGCCGGCATGCATTATGGAGCCTGTGCGTATCCCGCGCGTTGTGGGGATTTTGTGGTGGGCGCGGAGGTCGAAAACCCGGGCAACTGTCAATATCTGACACACGCCCGAGTGGTGGTGCTGCCGGTGCGTGGGGCGCCCTGGGCGCGTGGCCTCGACAATGAGTGGCCACCGGTTATAACTCAACTGGCTAGCGATCGACAGCAAGGAGGAATGATGAGTGTTGCAGTTTGAGGGTGCTGGTGGCGATTATACCGCGGTTACACGGGCTAAACCAGGTTTTATTCGGGAACGCACTATGAAAAACTGACATCACATGTCTCTTGTAAATTCCGGCAGTACGCGGCGAGTTATGTCTACAATCTACTAGCCGTCCAGCAATTCAACCAACCTCCTGTTTTGTAACACACATCCCGTATTGTCCTTATCCGCCACCCCGGGCCGTCAAACACACACCGGCCGCGGCTCTAACCGCCCGGTGCAGCGCGGGACTGACCTCGATGCGCGCCTCCAGCTCGTTGACAGGGATGCGCCGGTTGTAGCAGAGCATCTGGCGGCCAATGTCCTCGCAGACAGGCGTCGTGCCGTCTAGCTGCAGCAGCATGTTGGTCTTGAGCAGGTTCTTGGCACGCTCCACCTCGAACTCCGTGATGTTGGTGCAGAGCCTCATCCACTCCTGCTGAATGTTGTACAGCATGTCCTGGGGGAAGCGGAACGGTCAGACATATGTACGGCACACTCATCAAGCTACTAACTGTGTAAATCGGCCGAAAATAAAACCGTTTTGATGAAAAACCACGCGGCATGGCAGTGCAATTAATGATCCAGACGGGGAACCGCCAGTGCTTTTACCGCTCTCCCGGCCAGCTGTCAGCAGCAGACTGGACGCACCTGACCGTACCGTTAGATCCGGCTGTCCGTAGACCATTTCACACAACAGAGAACGCCAATTACGAGGTGCGACCGGCCAGCCCGGCGGCCGAATCAGCCAGCCGTTGAACTGATTAACCGGAACGACTCTCGGCAGCAAACTTAATACTGCATTAACAGAGCCCCGGCGCCGCGATCAAGTTCGCGCCCGGCCTCGACTGGTGACTGATCGATCGCAGCCAATCGGGCACGAATCCCGGCACCAGTCCGCCGCCGGGAGCGGTACCTACCTCCTGCTGGAGCGGCTCGCCCACCCAGTAGATGCCCCACAGGCCGGTGTCCTTGTAGCACGTGTTGAACGACTGGAACGAGTGGCAGAGGCCGTCGACGGCGCTGTTCTGCGCCAGAGTCGAGGCCAGGTTGGCGCCACCGCCCTGCGACCGGTCCCACGAGCCGACCAGTGTGGAGGCCACCATCAGCGGGATGTTGTCCGGGTCGGTCCAGCCGCAGCCCTCCACGGCAATCGCCACGTGCGCCAGCGGCATCGAGTCGTCACGCACGCGCACCTGGCGACCGAGAGCGGGTAGTCAACGGGAGACAGTTCGACAAAGACAGTACTTAGTACATAAACGGCGTTACGGCATCTATATGAATCGGGGAAAACACCCAAAATCACACTCTGGCACGCCAAAAAGTAGCATGACACATTCCAAAAGGAATTAATCAACAAACTTTCACTTAGGTGTCGCTGCACAAACTGTCTGCCTATTTATATCTCTTCCCTTCCATCGCCTTACCTCGGAGCCGGTGAAGCGGCAGGGCTCGATGGTGGGGATCTTGCCGTGCTCGTACTGGTAGCTGACGCCCGAGAAGTACTTCTCGGCCAGCTTGACCAGCTCCTGGTGGTCGACGCCGCCGGCGCCGGCCAGCACCATCCGCGGGCCCTTGTAGTGGTCCTTGATGTAGTCGACCAGGTCCTGGCGGCTGATGGACCTGACCAAGAGCAAATGACACAGAAGTTATAAATGATGACACTTAAAGATATAATAAATGATGACACTTAAAGATATAATTACTCTCTAATCGACATTACCATAAATTGAAACATAATGTGAAGGTATTTACGTCAGACACAACACTGCGCATTATCACCCGTGCTTAACCTCAGCAAGTCAACAGCGAACACCACGTACACAAGCACCCATCAGTCATGACACCGCGCCCACGTTATGAATGGGCGAACACCACCTCACAAGAACATCACACTGACTTGATGTTCTTGGTGGGTCCGAGGATGGTGCGTCCGAGCGGGGTGCCCTGGAAGGCGACCGCGTGCAGGTGGTCGAACACCACCTCCTGCAGGTTCATCTCGACCTCCTGCATCTCGCGCAGAATCACTCCGCGCTCACGCTCGATCTCCTGCCGGGCACAGCGAGGGCACGTCAGCAACCTGTCAACGACACCTTATTGAGTCTTGAATATACCTATACAATCATGGGAGTGCTAATGCATTTGTTGTCTTGTGCATGCATCTCAGCCATATGGAATTGTCAGAGTGCTTACTAAATGCTCACATTCCTCGGGTATTCTGCTCGCGACGAGTCGGGGAAGATAGTGAGGCACGGGTGGGACATGCGGCGTCAGGGCGGTGAAAGTGGAATTTCGCAATGTCGATATGATAATATGATGCAGTGACTTTCATATCATCAGTGATACATTTACCGTATTTAACCGTAGTCAGGGTGTTGGATTATATAGATGCTGCATTGGCAGCATCTATATAATCCAACACCCTGACTACGGTTCCTCTCACAGTATCCACGAACTTAACAAACTCTGGGATCGTAGCAAAGCTAGTTATCTAAGCGTGAAACCCAAGTCACACAACTCATATTTCCTGGATCCCGAGGTATACCCCGTGCCATTTCTCATTCCGTCTGAAACGGCAATATGGGTTGCATTTTTTTCCGCACGGCGCATAACATTCGACACGGAATGGTCACACAAGGCATCCCGCCGTCCATACAACGCCAGAGGACTCGCCACTGCCTCAGCTTGCAGTCTCGGCACACTCGACCCCGTACAATCTCTCGCCGGTCCGACGCTGAGTCGGGGCTTTCCAGGGCCACCATTTATGGCGAATTGGGGCCGGCTTTTCGTGGCCGATTGACGTCAGTTAATTAATGATGGAGGGTTAGCGCTTCGGCGAGATGCCCAGACGCGAAAAGCGTTCCGTTCGACCCGCAGTCGGTTTCTCAGAAAACTGCCAGATGGGAAAATTAATCTTTGTAGATAACGGGCAAGCCACTTCTGTTTCGCGAATTCTCGTGAAACGGAACATCGATAATGCACTAGCTAGAATGCGCCAATAGTCACACGAAATGCGCCGGGATGCGTGCGCCGCAATCACCTGACCCCAAAAGACTTCAAAGCCAGCTTACGTCAGGCCTGTCCTGCCTGAATGCCGCAGATTTAATTGATAAGATTACTTTAAAAGCAATCACCGCCACAGTGGGGCCGCTTTGCAAGTAAAACTTTGCCCAGGACGGCATTCGTAGAACGCACGTGTGGCCGACAGTGGGGAGAAGGGGCTGGAGCCTGGAAGGGAGGAGGGGTGGCTCGTTTCCGGCGGCCGGCCCGTGCTCTGACCTGCTCGCCGAACTGAGAGTTTTGGATGATGTCGGAGAGAATGTCCACCGCCTGGCCGATGTCCTCGCGGAAGCACTTGGCGTAGAAGACGGTCTGCTCTCGAGAGGTGTAGGCGTTCAGGTGGGCGCCCATGTTCTCCACCTGCAGTTCCAGGTCGGTCTGCGACCGCTTGGAGGTGCCCTGCGGTGACGACGAGGCACGAGTCAATGGTCAGCCTCGAGACAAATACATGGACAGTGCGCTACAGCTCCATAGCAACACTTCCAACTTCAAGTGGAATCATCAAACCGATTTTTTTAAAAGGTCACAATTACACAAAAATGGAGCCCATTGTGATGCGTTACTGAAGGAAAATGTGGATATTGTTGAGATCTTATTCTTTAATCGTTAGCACAGTTTTCGTTCATCCACACGAAAATGATAAACAGTTTTGGCGAAGGAGGTTAAATGTGCAGTCATGAAGACAAAAACTGTTGGGTAAATGATGATAAATTAAAATCATGTGCCAGGTCAATCATGTGCCTTCACATGCCTCACGTAAAAACCCACGAAACTAGCCTCGTCACCGCTGCCTATCGTACCTTGAAGGCCATATGCTCGAGGAAGTGAGCGACGCCATTGTTGCTCTCGGTCTCGTAGCGGGAGCCGGTGTCGACCCAGAGTCCGACGGTGGCCGTGGGCGCGCCGGTGTCCTCGGAGGCCACGCGCAGGCCGCTGTCGAGCACGGTGACGCGCGTCGGCGGCGTGTTGGCTAGCGTCTGCTCGAAGGCGGCCGAGGCGGCGGTGCTGCGGCACCGGCGCGGCAGCTGCCGGGTGCAGGTGGCGTCACACACTGGTGGGGGGTGGTGCGAGCTACTTATCATCGAGGAATATTAAGCCTACGATTTCTAAGCTCATCCAGTGAGATGTGACATCTACACTGAATCCTGGATGAAACATGAGAAATACCACAATACATTTTGGTGAGCTTTGACTTTGCTTTCAGCCTTAAGCTGAAGACTCATGGCAAATTTATTCTCAACAATGAAGCTGAAGTGCAGTACAAAATGTTATCATCATAGCAAAATCTACCTCTTCAAATATAAAACTTCACTAACTTCAAACTTCAAACTTCAAGAGTTCCATGCACCTATGCTAATCTGCTGATGAGGAATGGGCTTTTGTAGTGTATACCGTATCATTCTAGATCTTTTTCCCACTTATATACTTCCTATCAATTTTGGGCAAAAAAAAAATCATTAGAATGCTTACCAAGTAGATGCTTACCAAGTATTAGTTGTATTAGCAATAGTTGAGTTAGGCACTAAAGGTCCAAAATGGGTGTTCACCAAAGCAGCTGAAAAAGTCAGCTTGAATTGCCAGGAAGGACCAAACATATTCTGTCTCTGTTTATTATACAATGCAAGCCCTGGGAGCATCCTTTCTTTTGTCATAGGTCCTTTTGGGACTAAAATAACTTCATCCTAAATTAGCAGCCCATTGTGTATAGATGATTTTTTTGTGCAAGACAAGTAACTACAAAGTGCATTTCCCAACTTCCTTGAACTAGGAAGATTAATATGTTATTATGGTATAAGCTGGTAGATGCCATGGTAGGTTAGTAGGTAAGGTTATGTCATGTTTGATTGTTTTGTTCTATGAGATAGATACTATTTGATTAAGTTTTATCATTTACTGTGTTTTAGTTTGAATCATTAATTTTCTCTCTGGAAACATATAACATACTCCTTCCCTAGACATTGTTGCTTTAAACTGCAATATTTTGGTAAAACCTCGATATTTTTAGAACTACTAGTGACAAAATACGTACTCATTTAAATTTTTCAACTTATTCCAGCCATTTGAATGCATGAAAATACCAAGATGAATCAAAGAGTTTATTCCACACTCTTACATAATCATTAATCCCCCACCAGAAGCAAATTATTGATACATCCATTTCTTTATTCCGGAAGCCTAGTTTGCCCACTAGGCTTCTCGTTTCTCATTAAATCTGATGATAATCCAATCTTTATGGTTCCCATCATGTTCTGAATCCTGATACCAGTAGGTGAAACTATGGTCATGAGTACCCAAATATAGGAACGTTCCCATTTTTGGGAACGCAGTTCCCAAATATGGGAACGGGCGTTCCCATTTATGAGAACGGAAGGTAATTTTTCGGCCGTTCGCCCACTAAAAGTCATTAGTGCATCACGTCTCAAAAAAGTGCACGCTAATTTAAGTACCTATCTTCAGTTCTAAGTCTCTATAAAATTATCTTTAATCTGACCGTTGAACAAGGAAATTGACCATCGAATGATATTTTTAAAGATTTTTTGAAATGACGGAATGGTGAAAACATGGGTTACACTACATTTAACATGCAATTTTAAGGAAAATGAAGCGTTGTTTACATTTTGAGGTCAAGTATAATAATTTTCGCCTGGTTATGAAGTTTCATACTAGCGACACCAGATGCTGACATATGCAAGCGAACACGCGGACAGTCCCGAGGTAATATTGTTGACATTTGGTGTCGAGGCGGACGACCGCGTAGAACGTGCGTGATTTTACCGAACTACTGTTGTAAACTCAGTTTAAGTGGTCGAAAATTATTCAGCTGTATTTTATCAGCCCGGAAAGACATATTTTATTTGGATGCTAGCTGTTTAGCGTTGTTTTATAAGGAGCGTCATGAGCGTGGTTTTTGTCTTCCGTGTTTCTAAGCATGATAGTTTTGGGGGAATTTCTCTTATATAGGTCGCTCTGTGTGGCTTATTTATAATTTCTATGCTGATTTCGATCATTCCTCGTGCCCATCCTACCAGGCCTTTTGCCACTTACACTCATTAAGAAAGGAAAAAATAATTTTCAATGGGACTAGGTGTTTTGAGGGTGTAACATATTCAGCGTTCCCATTTTTGGATACTTCCTTGTACTCGTCAACTATCGGTGATAAACAGACAGGTGCTTGACATGTCTCCACCCTCGGCACGGACGGTGGATATAGGTATGGAAGACCTTGTTGAACATCGCTGAGCGTCGTGAATTACGTAATCCTGCAGAGGGGGGCGTTCCCGCTGCGAGATCGACGGGAATAAAAGCGCAGAAGACCGGGCGAAACATGCGACGGTCTTGCCGGAAAGGTCATCTGATGATTGTTGCGTTAACAATAATTTGCGGCGTTGGACGTGATGCTTGTTAATGAAAAGAGCCCCTGAAAGGCTTCGGTGAAATCGTTCCCAATTTTGGGTACGCCGTTCCCATAATAAGGAACGCTTGCAGGCTGCAGCGCCAGTGTACGAGAGCGTTCCCAAATTTGGGCTCGCGGCCCGGATGATGGACTGCTTTAGAAATAGGGGAACGATTTGAAACTACAATGGGCCTTACAATATCAAACTCTTTCCCAACAATATTGAGACAAATATCAGGCGGTTCACGATTGTTTTATATTTTTTGGACGTCATTTAACGGTTCTTATTCTTGTTTTAAATAATGCCTACATGGCGTTCCCATATTTGGGTTTATCGTTCCCAAACATGGGAACGAAAATGCGTTCCCGAAAATGGGTACGCTTGACCATAGTTCCGCCTACTGATACCGTCCAGCCCCAAGCAAAGCATATATTTAGAATCTTGTTTTGTTCCTACCAGCATAGAGTATGATCAGCCATCACAAGATCACAGCATCGAAGTAGGCTTTACACAACACACCTAGATTTCCGAATCAGCAACAGACAACATTTAAGTGCAATGGGGCAGTAGCCTACTACCTAATAGTCCTAATCTGTTACAAACAGGTTATATCAAAGAAAAGGACTAAGAAGCTAGGGTGAACAGACCAAATAAGCAAAAACAATCATTAAATCTTCAAAAATCGTGCTAAGTTCCCATTTACGGCGAACATGGCGCAGCACGTTTTGGCAGTTTTTAAGGGATACAGGTGATAAATTAAAATGAAAAACTTCCAAAAAATTGAATTCAACATATAAAAGCTAGAAAAATACCCACCAAAGCATTTTGCCTTGCAAGCTTAGCCGCTACGGCCGACAATTTCGAGAGCCTGAACGCCATCTTCGCCGCCGACTGAGGAGAATCGAAAGAGAAGAGTCCTGAAATTTGGAATGGGAATGACGCATCGATCTGTTTGTGTGATGTTTTAAAATAATTTTATTGAAATGAAAATGAGGTTATTCTTATGAAAATTAAGAAAAGTTGAATTACCAGAAAATATATAGAAAAGCTCCTCTAGAGTTCAGAAAAGAAGCAACCACTAATTTACTGGACGACTGGAATGACTTATTTAGCCCAGATTTTCAACAAGTTCTTGCTTACAAATTACAATCACGAATAAAAAAAAAAATGGATTGATGTGCTACGTTTTTATATTTGCATGCATCGGCTCAGCCTGGCCAGGGAACCACTATCTAACCTGGTTGCCGAACCATGTAGCAACTAGCAACCTGCAACACGCGTTAGCGGCGTTCGACAGAATAAAGTAACTCGGTCTACTTTTAGTCAGGTCAAAGGTCAGGTTACCATAAATCTGCAAAGGTTTAGTTTTGCCTATATCAATACTTGTTGACAAATCGTTGCATAATTGATAATTCTGGAGCGAATAGCCCTCTGGCGCTTATATGTGGGTAGTAAAAGCGCTTTCAATAGCTGAAGTTGAGCTGAAGTTCTTTCTGAGAAGAGATTCTCCAATTTTACCTCAGGTCAAGTGTTTAGCCTTCAATTGAAAAACTATTCAATTTGATAATTTTGATAACACTTTTTAACAGATTTCTTTGAAATGATGCTTCTGCCACGTTAATTTTACTGACACCGTGCTTCTCTCATCAAGACTCGTCGATTGAATTATATAATATATATGTTACAGGCCGTAGAAAACGTCGTCCGTTTGCAAATGGCCTGGCTCGAGTCAGGCCGTTTCAAACGGCCTGGGCGACCCAGTCAGTTTGCAAACGGACCGGGCCGTTTGAGAACGGCCTGAACCTTTTTGACCTGACCTTGACCTGACCTCCACCAGAAAGTGACTTAAACCGTACCTGATGGTCTTATAACCAAGACCATTGAGTTGGAAATGAAAAACTGGCCATTAAACATGCATCGCACAACCTTAGTAAAGTTGGGTTCATGTGGTGACCTTTGGTGACCCCTGGTGACCTGACCTGTGACCTGACCTGGTATGACCAGACCTCTAATAGCATCATATGTACTAGACAACTGACGCCCTATCGCTGATTTTCGACAAAATGCGTTTTACTCGGCTTTCCCAAGAAGCCCCGTGAACGGTGAAACATTTTATCTTTGACCTGACCTGTGACGTCATCGGTGACCCCGAGGTCAATGAAATTTGGTTTCCTTCAACAAATTTGACAGGGCTATCGAACGCCGTTTCAATTTTTCGGATCCGTCCAGTAGTTTCGGAGATACGGGGGGGGGGCAAAAAAATGCCCCTCCCCACCACCGCGCGGAAGGTGGCCGGGAGGCCCACCGCGCGGAAGGTGGCCGGGAGGCCCACCGCCTGCCGGGATAAATGTGTTTTTCTATCGCCCTGAGGTGTCTACCTGAAAAATCGTTGTAGTAATTTACTGATAATTTCATCATTTCATGGCCTATTACATGATCTTAAAGGTAGTGTGCCACCTTCCAATGGTTTCCCATTTTATTTTTCATAGGATAAGAAGCTTCTGTTTTTACCTAATATCGCAAAAAAATCAAAAATGGGCCTAAAATAGTGCTTTTTCGCCTAAAAGTTTATCGGTTTTGTAGTGGGCTGACCTGCAAACAGGCGTCGGCAACAATCGCGAATGCGGCGCACATGTGCCAATAAGCAAAGGTCATTATAGAGTTACGACGTACGGGAATGAGTTATCAGCTGTCTAATCGTAGACAACACAATGTCGAATTTAAACTGTAAGCCTTTATTGGTATTGTTTCTTTAATTTGGCTGTCGAACATTAAATTATGGTTTGAAATATTATTTTATGTAAAATAATTGATATGAAACAGCCGTCTCTAAAGTTATGACCCCATCTCACCACATGAAAGTGGCAGAAATGACAATGATCAGCTGACGCATTTTTCTTGGTCGAAGTCAGAGCGCGCGGCCCGACGCACCACCACCGCACCACAAAGTATGACAATGAGCAGAAGCCGCGCCCAGAGCCAGGGCCCCGGTAACGTGAGGTAGCCGAGTCGGGGCAGCGTGCGCTGACCCAAGCCGGGGCCGCGGCTTTGGGCGCGGTCTACCGCATCCCCGGGCAGCCTCGGGCTATCACATGACACCGGGAGGACGCGCGGCCCCGGCTTGGGTCAGCGCACGCTGCCCCGACTCGGCTACCTCACGTTACCGGGGCCCTGGCTTTGGGCGCGGTCTACCGCACCACCTAACAGGCGTGTTCGAAACCGCAGGAGATGATGATGAACGGGTTTATCGAAACTTGATTGGATGAGCCTATCGGTAATAGCGATTTCAATGTGTGCATTTATTGTTCATAGTGGTGTGAAATGTGGTTGGGGTTAGGGGTACGATCGACAACCCGTCGGGGCGAATTTCGCACTGGGATACTCAAAATTTGAAGAATTTAAGACGTTTCCATCAGTTTTGAAGGTATGGATAAGTTCTAAAAATCTGGTTCTCCTTATCTGGGCCATTAACTCCATACGGTCCAGGAAAGCTGGCACACTACCTTAAAGTGTCTGAGGTTGGGACTTGGGTGCAAGTTTCGGTTCAATATGCAAAAGTTCAGTGCAATTAATTAATCATGGCAGCCGTGACGAGCATGAGAGTTTTTTTTTTAATATTTTTGGTGCCCGACCCGGGCTTTTTGTCGTTAGTAGCACACACTCATACTCGGTTAGTACACTATATACACGGCAGTGGTACGAAGCGTTTTCGGCACCCGCTACGCGGGACAGCCTTGACCGCACGCTTCCTGTCACGCACCCCAGGTGGCACCGCATTGGCGCGCACGCTGGGGCTATCCCGATTTCTCGGGCCCGGCAGGTCAGTGGGCTGCTCCGGGACATGTAGCGAGGCCGTGCCCTCGGGACATGTCACCGGACCGAAGGATCTGTTTAAAGGTAGTGTGCCACCTTTGAAAGATTTCCCATTTTATTTTTCCTAGGATAAGAAGCTTCTGTTTTTACCTAATATCGCAAAAAAATCAAAAATGGGCCTGGAATAGTGCCTTTTTCGCCTAAAAGTTTTTCGGTTTTTAGATATGTATAACAACTGTAGTGGGCTCACCTGCAAACAGGCGTCGGGCAACAATCGCGACTGCGGCGCACTTGTGACAATAAGCAAAGGTCATTATACTGTTACGACCATACGACGTACGGGAATGAGTTATCAGCTGTCTAATCGTAGACAACACAATGTCGAGCCTTAAACTGTAAGCCCGTATTGGTATTGTTTCTTTTATTTGGCTGTCGAACATTATTTATGGTTTGAAATATGATTTTATGTAAAATAATTGATATGAAAAAGCCGTCTTATAAGTTATGACCCCATTTCACCACACGCAAGTGGCAGAAATGACAATGATCAGCTGACGCATTTTTCTTGGCCGAAGTCAGAGCGCGCGGCCCGACGCACCACGCGTATTTGGAAATTCCGACCTCGACGAGCATCAGAAGCCACCTAACAGGCGTGTTCGAAACCGCAGGAGATGATGATGAACGGGTTTATCGAAACTTGATTGGATGAGCATATCGGTAATAGCGATTTCAGTGTGTGCATTTATTGTTCATAGTGGTGTGAAATGTGGTTGGGGTACGACCGACAACCCGTCGGGGCGAATTTCGCACTGGGGTACTCAAAATTTGAAGAATTTAAGACGTTTCCATGAGTTTTGAAGGTATGGATAAGTTCTAAAAATCCGGTTCTCCTTATCTGGGCCATTAACTCCATACGGTCCAGGAAAGCTGGCACACTACCTTTAAAGGCGGATCGATCAGGCCCGTGTACCTGCGGCCGGGGGCGCTGGCTGGCACAGCGGTAATCCCCACGACCGAGCGAACACTCCCCAGTTACTGCCATCTCCTGGGTAGGAGCCGGCCGAGGAAAACGCTGCCAGAGGTCAGCTTTGATCCAAGGACCTCCCACACCAAACGTGAACGCACTTGCCAACAGCGCCACAAGGGTGGTACGAGCATGAGAGTTAAGGTCACTTGATATGTCCTGCTGGTGACCTAGGACCTTGAACGACTTGGTACTGAAATGTTAACAACATGCAAAGAAAAGATGCATCGAAAGATGTGCGGAAAACGTCGTCGCCCCGCGGAGCCGTTATTTTTAAATATATGAGAAAACCCGCAGTGGGAAGGTTCAATCCAAGCATTAGCACCCCCTCCCCCCACCGGCTCAGCTCGGCAAAATTTTGTCATGTCGCTGCGTGGCCCAGGATTCAGGAGTAAAAAAGGAGGATTACTAGCCCCCTCCCATTTTGATGGCTGTTGCAGGTCGGTGGTTACCGCTGCCCTCTTTATCAATGATCATAGATAATACCTACCTCAACCATGTTTTTCAGCTCTGTATCTCACGAGCAAGAAAGGTATGCAGAGGCTAGATTCTAGAGGAAGAGTAGAGTAACGCAGCTCTGCACAGATAGAGACCCGTTTCGGCAGAGACGCTGCGGCGGCAGTGCGGATGCATGCGTCGTACGCGACGTGCGTGCACCTCGGGGAGTGGCGGCGGCCGCCCAAATGATCCCGAACGGTACCATGCGCCGGTGGATACAAACCGGCGACCGTACGCTGGTGGATGGACCACCGACCGCACGGCAGACCGCCGCGCCGGCACTCTGCCGGGCCGCGGGCGGCACCAGTAGCGGCGCGGCGTATTGAGCGTATGACTGGCCCAGCCCCTCTAACTCCGCTCTCCGCCCGCCGCTAGCGGCGCCCATGCTGAGGTCAGCGTTTCAGTGCCACGACGCGCCCCCCAAGGCCGAAATGAGTACCTAGTTGAGTTTTAACTGGTTTCATCCGAACAGGTGAAATATATTACAAGACCGAAGAAAATATGCTTAAGAACACCTGTGATGTTCCTACATTATGAGGCATGTGGCATTATTGTGAGCAATTTCCATTGTCCACGATAAGTGGCGTTCGAAATGGCGTTGAAAATCATGACAAAAGTACATCGGCCAAGTTTTAGGTCATGTCGATTCAAAAGTTGGAGTCACCAGTGTTCACCAAAGGTCAAAAATCGCATATTTTGACAGTTTTCGGCGCATATCTTGGGGACGAATAGAGCTGCAGCGATTGCGTGGTAATTACAAATTTTTGTTTATAATCAAATAACGTTCC